GAAATCTAAGAATGCGTGTGTAGCCTTGGAAGGCCTGGACCACGCTTTCTCACAAGACGAGGTAAAAGAGCAATAATAGCTAAACGATGGTCTGTCGAAGTGCACACTGGAATGGTAGAGGAAGCGATGAAGGGGGTGAGGTTTGTGGAAGTATAGATTCGATCAAGACGTGACCCTCCCGACACACTTGTTTTATAGAAAAACGAAAGGTCGCGACGGGTAGGGTGGAGGTAGCGATATGTGTCTACCATATCCGGGCAGCATTCGGAGAAAGCCTTAGCTAAGGATAAGTCCGCGGGTCTACTCCCTTCTCCTGTGGTGGAATCTAGCATCGGATTATGGACAAAATTAAAATCTCCAGCCCAAAGCAAATGATCATCCTGTCCTATCCTATTTACCACATCGCCAAGAGAATGCACACACGCCTTCCTCTGATCTATCGAGTAACTAGATGTCATGAGGTACAAATTAATCAAATGAATACGGTGACCACACCACGTGAACGAAACCGACGCGCTACGGCCTTGGGGAATGTTAGCCGGAAGTAGTCGTGCCGGTGTTTGTATTATTTTAAAGTCGCGATAAAGATCTTTGCGCACTAGCACTAACACTCCAGCCGTCCGGGCATTGGTCGTGGGGGATTGTGCTATTATATCCCATCCCGGTATCCCTATTTTCTGAGCCGCGAATTGCAATTCTCTAGTGAGAATTGTCAGGTCTCCATCTCCCAAATGATGTGTCTCCTGTAAACAAATGACATCTAACCTATGTTGGGCCCATACTCTAGCCGCAGCATGGATACGAGTAAATGCTGATTAGTGCTGGTGCGTCAAGTTCTGGGGCCGGTACTTTCTGCTCTTGTGGAGTTGTTTTGCTGGGTTTTGAGTCTTGCATTAGAAGTTATCGAACCTGGACCGTAGTCAATGGTCCGCGGGCGCAGGGCGTGCCGGTCGTGCAGTCATATTACAGGTGATTAATATGTCCTAAGTTGGTTTAGTTTTACTTGACGTATGAAAGGGAAGGGTGGGCGAAGCTGGGAACGGGGGCGTAGGCTTGCGAGGGTCCGGGATGAGGCTGCGGTAGGGTCGGCCATGGGGTCGAGTTCGGAAGGTCGGCCACGGCGGCGCGGACGGCGGCGGCGATGGTCTCCTGAAGCGAGGGGACGTATGGTTCGGTGACGGAGGTGGTGGGGACGGAGTCGACGATGGGGACGGTAGGGACGGGGTTGACCATAGGGGGAATGGGCGTGAGCGTCGTAAACGGAGACTCGTGGACGTTGCTCGGGAGTTCCGCGGACCGCGAACGGGATCGGTCGCGGTTGGCGTCCGTGGGAACGAGAGCCATCGGGGAAGATGAAGACGAAGATGAAGACGATGGCGCGATGGCGCGATGGCGCGACGACGCGACGACGACGAAGACGAAGAGCTCGGCGAGGAGGATCACCTAGGCTCTGATACCAATTGAAAGGGAACCAGGCCACACCTAACAACTGGGAAGCGTAAGCCGGCTTTACTTGCCGAAAAACTTGCGTAGGCACAGATGATCGGTTTTCAAACTCAACTTAGACTTACAATGTTCATAATTTGGTCCGCTTAAATAGTCATATTAGCGCGCCATAACCTCACACGTTGTACACGCAAGTTCAAGCTCCACTAGCTCCGAAGATACGACATGGTTTCAGAAGCGCGCGTTAACGAACTGCAAAACATTACAACGTAGGGAGGTACTGGTGTTTGATGTGAATCGCTCGGAGAGCGATATTGTTAGTTGTGGATGCGCCTTTTCTCGTTTCGCCTTTTTTGTGTTCGGACGGTATGTACGAGGATTCCCGCGAATAATCCTGATGCGATGGATGCGATTCGGTTGTCCGCGCGCGATCTTTTGTACTAAACTTATTACGATAAGTTTGGGGCTTGACGATTATTTGTCTACGCAGCTTCAACGAATAGAAAGAGCTTACCCGAGGACCCGTAGAGAACGATTGTTGAATCGTTACAAGGTAGGCAAGCAAAGCTTTGGCAAATTGCCCGTTACAGGCTGCTGCTGTCGCTACTGCTGCTGCTGGACGTGGCCCCCCGGTAAGATAATTGTGATAGTTGGATAATCAGATAGGTAATGCCTTATACCTCGCCATCCCGCATGGATGGATGGATGGATGGATGGATGTTACAAGCTTCAGCGAGCTCGTACGGCCCAAACGAACCCGGAGGCTCATGAACCGCTTTGACAGCGCCGTCGATAGGAAAAAAGAGAAAAAATAAACAAAAACAGTTTTACGCGAGAAGAAAACGAATGTTTATGAGAAAGAAAGGCGTCAACTTGACTCTGAAACACAATTGCCTGTTATCGCCGAGAAAGTTAGGTAGCTAGGTGCTCACGCCGGGATCGAAACATCTCAAAAATTGCCTTCGCAAGACCGCGCTGATCATCCACTTGCATGATATCACGAATATCCGCGTTGACGGGCACACCGAGGTCCCAGAGCTTCTGTCGCGCAGACACAATCGCCGGGCATTCTACCAAGTAATGTTTCTCCTCAATAGCTCCAATGCTACGACACACAGCCCACACGCGTAGCCCTGTTGCTCTCGCTGTTAACCGCCAAGTCGGAGACACACAAACGAAAACGGATTAGGGCACGATGATGCGCCGGGGGGACATAACCCGCGTACGGCTTCGGTGGCCCCATCCAGTGCTTATCTTCACGCCGGGCTTCCTACCGTTCGTAGCGAAAGCTCTAGGGTCCACAGCCAGCCTGTCATTCGCCCAGTCGTCGTTGACACGTGCCCTAAGGGTGTCCATCAGCGCTTCGACATCAAGCCTGCAGGCCGAGTAACGTCTAACCCTCATATCAATGCTTCCCCCGACTGCTTCCTCGTCCCTGTCATGCTTTAAGTGGTCAAGGAATACGAATGACTTTGGATCCCCAACCATCAAACTGCAAATTCGTTATTTACGCCAAACGAATTTCCTGACGGAAGGCGCTGTGGTATACGCTACCAGTGTCCTCCACCAAGCTATTCCAGAAGCGAAATACGGATTCAGCCCAGTGCAGCTGTAGCGCCATCTGCCCTAGCTCCCGAAAGAAAAGCTAGAGGGTTGGTACGGAGGTCCCTACCAGTTGCTTCATGAACAAGATTTGGAGCTTGGCCATTCGGTCTCGTACAGGAACATAGCATGACCGCGCTGCCTCGTTAGCCGGATAGCCCTTTTCCAACATCGTGAGGACCTGGTCAGGCATCCACACCTGCGAGCCATACGATAAGACAGAACGCACTTGTGCATTGAAACACTTCATGCCGACGCTAGGTAGCAGCAGACCCTGCCGGCGCAGCTTGTTGCGCAGAGCAAACATAGCCCGTTGGCCAGCCGAGAACAGCTCATCTGTGCAAGACGCAAAACCCGAGTCTGGTCCGAAGCGCAGCCCCAGTATCAGGCACGTGTTTTTTTCCAGGTAACCTGTCGGAACATCGGTAGCCCCTCTTCAAGTACGCGCATGGTGACCGGGTTATATGCGCTGAGAGCATAGACCTGCCTTCTAACCTGACCATTGGGATGAAAAAACAGCACCTCACATTTTTGCACGTTGACAGTGAGACCGAAAGCCTCCGACCACTCCCGCAGTGCCCGTAGTAAGCAAGCTCATCAACCGTCTCAGTGACATCGCGAATAGGCTCAGGTCATCAGCGTAGAGGGTTAGGGGCACTCGATGATCTTCTACGCTAGGGGTTTCATGTCTGTCGTATTTATTGTACGGCGGTCTCACTCCCTACAATCGTTTATCCGCCGTTGGTGTTGTGCTCTGAGGCAAGTCCCCTCTCTTGCCTCTGTCTCCTGGATGCCTGGGACGCGGAGGTCACCTGTTGGCTGCGTGTTCAGGGTACGGATGTGGATATGTGGTATCTGTATGTAACGGACGTCATAACTGGAAGTCCTCTGCGCAAATTACTCATGCCGCGCATTGTACAGTGCTGTGCTTATGTAGCTGGATAGGTAGGGGGATAGGTAGGTAGGTGGATAGGTAGGTAGGTAGGTAGGTAGGTAGGTAGGTAGGTAGGTAGGTAGGCAAAGGGGCGAAGGCAAAGTAAGGGAAAGTACTGAAGGGCAGTGCATGTGGCCGTTCTATGATTATAAATCACCATCACCATCATCAACAGAAATATGAGCTCGGGCACGTCGCTAGTGTCGGGAGGAACGCGGAGGAAGTAGAGCGCGATGTGCGGTTTGCGGTTTGGGGAAAACTTTCCCTAAGGGTTGAAGTTTCAAGAGGTGGTGGTGAGGAGAAAGATGGTGAGCCGAGGAGCTGGAAGATGCGAAGGTGCAAGAGGTGGGTTTTTTTGAAGTGCGGCCGGTGCGGCTCTGATCGCATCAAATGCGGCTTTGCTTGCTTGAAGGGCTGTACAGTACGTGTCACAGCATTCTTTGGTTGGGCAGCTCTCGATTAGTTACAACAGGCCGCTAACGGCGTCGAAAGTGTGGTGGCTATTGCTTCGACGCACGCGTTTCTTATCCTTTCAAATCCATTTCAAATCGGGGTCTTGAAACCATTTTCTGCTGCTCGCCGCGTTCCACAAACCCCCCCGCCCTTTCCTACTTTTTAGCGGTTTACCGTGGGCCCTACGCTCGGTACATTTCTACCTTCAAATTGGTAACCATGACAAACGTACGATTGGGCAAGTCCGGCGGGAGATTCATGCACAACAATCGACGGCAGCAACCGCTATATGCGGCACGAATGGTAAATAGTAGCTGGCTTTTATTTTAATTCTAGGGACAGTCGGGTATCTATACTCGTTCACTTCACTGTGAGTACGGCGGTTTACGGAGGGTGGGCGACATAGTACTTACAGGATATATAGCGTTCACGAAAATTGCTGCGCATATCCGTGGCCGAAAGGTGGCATGGAGGTGCAATTACTTCACAGGTTGCACAGACGACTGTTTTCACATTTTGGATGTGTGCAACAAAGCAAATCGGTGCTCTGTCTTGGTGCTCTGGTCCGCAGCTTCACGGAAGCTTCGTCTTGCGAATCACGCCTCATGGACTCGGCATTCGAGCCGTCTGACATTTTGTGTTCGGAGGACGTTCGTATACGGAACAGAAGGCTTGGCTCTGCTCGAGATCGGCGGAACGATGTGCGCGTATGCATGGGGTAGCCGCAGGGTGCATCTTTTGACACAACGGGCAAGAAAATACAAACACTGATTTCACACAGTCTTCATTTCCTGTCCACGTGCGAGCTTTCTGAACGGCGTCTAATGCCTTGCTGTCAACGCAGCGAGATGGGACTTCTTGTCCAGGCGCATACATTCTTATGCCCGGCCAGGATGAAAATGTACCGTCGCAATGATGGCCTGTGAACTTCTCCTTGTATGAATAGTCAGATTGATGTTAACGAACACGAATAGTACAGCGCGTCTTTACGTACGTTTCAGAATGGTAAATTATACCTCAAGGAGCAAGGATTATCAACATCACACTATGTACTTAAGCCTGGCGAGCAAAGCTGCGGCGCGTAAGGCGAACGTACTATGGAGCAACTCGAATACACGCCCTCCAAAAAACCGTACGGCGGTGATGGGGTTCAACGGCGAGCGGCACCCGTATAGGCAAACTCGTAAGCTGTATTATAACTAGTTAACTATACATTTTAATCAATACCATCGCCCCGGACTGCTTCATTACCAAGAAACATATGCGTCTATGAGGTTTAGGGCGCAGTCGTGCAAGTTTACTTTCATCTTAAGGTGCACCTGCTAGAAATTTTAAAATATAAGAAACATATGATGACTTTTAAGGCCTCGCTATTAGGCCGCTGACATCCTGAAATGGCGCTGGGAGGTATTTGTGCGTCATTTCCGGTTTGTGCCCTGGCCTGGGCGCTGTTTGCCCTTAATTCCTACGCAAAAACAGTCACCCTAACGAACGGCAAGGTTGAACTAAGGTTCGCAGGGAGGGGATGCGTGGTAGTACGCCCCTGCTGCAACCGAAGCTTTGAACAGCTCGGACTCACCTAATTGCCATCGTTCATGCCTGAACATCACATTTTGGGTACATTTAACTCAGTGTGGGACGAAGAGTGTGTGCTTAGGGAAGGCCAGGACACTTCGGGAATCGACTGCGAAGGCATGTAACTTCCGCCCACCGATTTGGCACTCTCGTAGGCATGTATCGCCTGCTGAAGTCGCTACCGCTAACGAAGAAGCCCTGGCTGCTGGGGCTGCCGAAACCTCCGCTTTAAACCTTGGTTTTGGAGCTGCAGCCCGGCTCAGCTCGGCTCTGCGTGATGCAGCAGTACAAGACCCCGTTTGGGGCCAGGCGCCGTCCAGGCGCATGTTCCTCCTGTCGTACAACGACGACGCACACGCCAAACGCATCATACAAAGCCTACGCGCCCGCCAGGCGCATATCATTTCGTACATCTCCGATCAAAACTTTCTCGTGGCTGCAAGACCAGATGAGGCCCTTCAGATTGCGTTCGAGCATGAAGCGGAGTTGGTGAGACTAGCTGTCGGTGGTGAGGTGGAGGGGGGTGACAAACGAACGAACCAGCGAACTTGAAAGCGAGAGGAGGAGCGAACGAATGAAAGGGGAGAAGGAACGAGCAAAACGAGGGATAGCCGGATGCTAAGAAATATCATTGGTTGGCGGATGGGAAATGGATCGTTATGATTGGGGATGCGGATGCGAACGTGTGTAAGCATGAACGGTCAACCGTCCAACTACCACCTACTAACCACCACCTGCCCGTACTCTCCCAGGCCGAATTGGATCCTAGACTAAAGCTGTCGTCGGAGTGGCGGCCGCTTACGGTGTCAGCTGGCAGCACTAGCGACAGCGGCAATAATGACACTGCTGATTATCCGCTGCCAACGGATTCGGAGCTGGACCTGGCCATGCTGCTGAACACCTTGACGGTGTTCGGCCCGGATCAAAGCTCCGATCCAAATTCAAATTCGAATCTGCCGCGCTATGGAGTCCTCGCTGAGCTCCAGCCGGGTATCACAGTAGATGCGCTAGGGGAGGTGGAGCGGGAGTGGCCCGACCTGCTGGCGGCGGCAGTGGCGGCGCCTGGGGGCGGGCGTCACGGCGAGAATAGCAGGCGATGCCAGCCGATTGTAGTCGCGCCTACCGCGAGCACTACTGCTGTCGGTTCTGTGGTGCGGCTATCGATATACCTGTGCATGAAGGTAAGGATACACGGGGCCGCCAGTATGCATACACGGCCTACACGGGACGCAAATACACACAGCTCACACAGCTTAGAGGACTTACGTGACATGCAAACATACAGGCAGACACATAGACAGGCACAGAGCTATGCATTTTTGTACCCACATATGTATATTAGCACACACAAACACAGAGTCTGCAGGGGCCTGGGGGAGTACCAAATGCTGAGTTCTCCTGGGAAAGTAGGGCAGGTAGTCAAGGCGGGGGCTGTGCTAGCGGTCCAACATACGGGTGCCACAGCCCACGCCCATATGCAATAAGTCAGTCAGGCATTGCTGCCGTACAGCACTCGGGGGGGCTGGGATTCCATAGCAGTGCCGATGATCTGCTGGGATGGCTGGAAGGTTGGCAATGCAGCGCGTCGGCTGTTGATTCATAACGCAAAATTGCTTTGCTAACCATAATGGGTCTGGTCCTCTGTGGGGGGAGCTTGGGGTGCGTGCGCCTTATCGCAACAGCTTGAGCCCCGTTACAGCTGTCATAAAGGGCCCTACTGGCATCGACCCAGAAATAAGGGTATGCGTCTTCTAGGAAATCACCATCTACCCAACTAACCAATCAACCAATCAACCAACCAACCAACCATATTAGGTTGGGAGTCTGTCGGCCTTTCGCGTGTTTTGCTCCGAATGTGGCCCTGCATGCTTAGCTATGGTCACAGCTGTTTTGCTTTGGACGCCGTGTGTGTTTGGAGGCGGCGAAGTAGCACTAGCTGGCCTCTTTCCCCCCCACCCCCACCCCCACTCTACACTCAAGCCCCACCGGCCCCGAGCGACTGCAGCTGCTCCTTACCTTCTTTCTACCGCCCGCACCCCCGGCGGCCCCCGGTTTCCCTCTTCCCCCCCTTGGGCCGTCTGCTCCCCCCGTGTTGCTGACGACCGGAGGACCTGGCTGCCGGCCTGGGGTGGTTGGCGGAGCGCCCGGAGGTCATGTGGTTGAGTCCCGTGAGGAAGGCTCGAGGCGATAACATCCTCTCCAGTTTCCTGCTGCAAACTGGTAGGTGGGTGCGGAGAGGCTCGGCGCCGGTGTTGGACTGTGAGTTGGACATTGTGCAATCCTCGCCAATCCTCTTCACCTGACAATCGCGCGTACCCCGTCTGCTCCTCCCTGTTGCCGTACACGGAACTCACTTCGAAAGGTGACCTCCCACAGCAGTACGTCAGCAGTACCATGCGGGACAACCCGAGTGAGATGTACATGCCGTACTGGAATGCTAATCTACAAGGACAGGACGAGATTGTCGGGGTGAGCCGCTGAGTCCCCACGCTCCCCTCGCCTTCATACGTTATTGCTGCTGCTGCTGCTGCTGCTGCGCCTGGTTCTGTGTGTTCTGCTGCTGCTCATGGTGTTGATATTGATGATGTTGATGTTGATGATGATGATCGTGAAGATTATGGTGATCATCATCATGATGCGGCTACGTGCCCCTGTCCTTGCTGGATCTTTCCACGCTTCTGTTGCTACGTCTGCTACTGCTACTGCTACTCCGGGGGCTGCTGCCGCGGCGGCGATGATGGAATCGAACCGTGCGGCACCACCTGCTGCCATGCCGTGGTCCCGGGCAGGTGGGCGACTCGGGCATCGACATGGAGAGCTGCTACTTCAGTGACCCGCTTTATGCAGGGAATTATACGGCGATGCTTAAAAACGAAGCCAGTCTTCCGAGGCGACAGGGCTTGCCGTACGCAGAGCTTAAAGGTCACCGGAAGGTCGTACAGTACGCCATTATGAAAAGTACGACGGAAAAATAGCCACCTTAAGACGCGTGTGTCAGATAGATCCTGCCCTTTCTTCGTGTGTGGATGCATATCAGTATATGTGTTAATGGTGTTTTTTGTGTGTATGTGTTGTGTCGTTTGTTCGTATGGGTGTGCCTTAATAATCTGAGCCGCGATGAGGGAAATGGCGTCTGTGTTCGTGTGTGTGTGTGTGTGTGTGTGTTCGTGTGTGTTCGTGTGTGTGTGTGTGTGTGTGTGTGTGTGTGTGTGTGTGTGTGTGTGTGTGTGTGTGTGTGTGTGTGTGTGTGTGTGGCGTGTCCCTGTCATGACAGGAGGGTGTGATCTAGAGAGGAGTCGAGGGGAGTGGCGGGGGAAAAGCATTGGGTTGGGGCGGAAGGTCTTCGCGTCTCGCCTTTGGAGTCGGCACGTGCACACAGAAGGCCTCCGGGTGTCGCGCTCCCGGGGGTAAGTGCGCAAACCACCCGACTTGCGAAATAACACAACCACCAAGGTTGACGTGACATATGTGGCTGTACCTCTTAGTGACTAGTGATTATACATGTGGCATATGGCCCAGGCACGCATGGGGATTGCACCCCAGTAAAATTAAAACACGCTAATATACGACATTCGCATGTACGGCCGCGTTTTACAGCGAACAGCGGTTCGGGTGACGGGCTCGACCGGAACGGGCACGGAACGTCCACGAGCGGTTGTTTGGCGGGCGCCGTATTGGTAGGCGACGGTATGAAGATTGAGACATCTGTGGATCAGGCCACTGGCGCGGCACCGAAGGCGAGGATCAGCTTCATCGACTTGTCGAACGATACTCGGGATGTGATGCACCTCCCAGATGACCTGTACTCGGGCTATTTTGAGGTAGGTCCAGGGAAGGCAGGGAGCGAGGGAGCGAGGGAGGGACGGAGCGAGGGAGAGAGGAGGGGAGGGAAATAATCCCCACAAACACACACCTCCAGCCGCATCCTCCGCATCTCACCTCCCTCATCCACCCTTCCGAACTCCATTTCCCTGCATCCCTTTCCGGCAGGTACACAGAAGTGTGGGAGTCCACATCCACAGCAACTCCTGGGGGGTGCCAGCCATGAAAGACGCCACGTACCAGTCCACCTCTGAAGGTCTGGTGCGCGCTGGCCATTTGGCGTACGGGCGGGCAGGCAGGCGGGCGGGAAGGCGGGAAAACGTAGTTGAGAATCATCATCTACAGATTACCACAGAAACGTTACCCGGACTCCTTAGCTTCAAGCCTTACCGGGGGGCTCCCACTCACCCGGGGGCAACACGGGGGGGAAGTTAGGCCTGACGCGTACATCAGTCAATCGTTAGCCGCCAACCGCGCTGGTAAGAACGTGACGAGCTCCCCGCTTCCGTGGGTATGAGGGCATGGGGGCATCATCACCCTCCCCACTTCCCGGCCACGCACATACGTGCTCAAACACACGCAAACACATGCACCAGTACAACTTGTCTTGCGTTTCCGGGGCTTCTGTGTATATCCCGCTGGGACTAGCACTAGCACTAGCACTAGCATTACCCTCCACTCAACCACTACCTCCACACTGCACAACCTCTTCCTCAGGCTCAGGTCCCCACAGCCCTCCCCGGTGAAACCTTTTCCCCCCTCCCTTCCTTCAACTATCTTCACCGCCATCACCAACACCATTACCGTGCTCAGCGCTAGACAGGTTCCTCTGGTCCAACCCCGAATCCATTGCCATATTCTCGGCATCGAATGACGGTAGGTACCACGTCAAATACGTATCTGTACTGTACGTCATTATCACCATTCCTTTTATCACCACTGCTAGCAATAATGGCGATCATCATCATCGGGAGGTTTCTCCCGGAGCCTGGTGTGTGATGGATTTGGATTGCTAGGGAGGGAACTGAGGGGTACGACTATTACTGCGCCCCGCTGTGGACCGTTAATATTTCTGCCGTACCTGTCGGTGCTGCTGCTGCTGCTCCAGGCTAATTAAAGTGACAACTTGAGAGCATACTTCGATTCCTTCTGTATCTTGTATGTGCGAATCATGCATGTATAAATCCCGCATGTGTGAGCAGGTGCAAAGGTTGTCGGCCGGGCGTCCGTGAGCGAGCCCGCGCTCGCCAAGAATGCTGTAGCGGTCGGGGCGAGTGCGAACCTCGTGGGTACCAAGTTCTACATGTACAGGTTGCGAATGCAGTGGCGGAACGGCAAAGTGGACGAGATGATGGTGGGTGGGTGTTGGATTACACATGATGCTGGTGCTTTGGGCACCGCAGCCGTGCGCAATCGTTTTCGTGGCGTCCTTGCGATTGTGCCTCTTCCGTGTTCCCAAGTGCTTGTGATTTTAGCCACGATGGAACTGGGTGACGATCCGAAACGATGAAAGGGGCCAACCGCGAAATGTGTTTTGCGCACACGCAGTGGTGAACCCTTCTCTTCGCGTCAGGAAAGCCAAGAAAGCGACCAACTCCATCTTCATTACCACCACCACCACCACCATCTCTGCCATCTTCATGCTTTCATCATTTCTCCCCCGCACTCGGGCTACAAGATGGGATGGGATGGGGAGAGGAGGTCAGGAGTTGTCTTGCAGGGAAGGAATGATACCGATCGCTTGAGGTTTCCGGATGGGGGCCCTTGCGTGGGCCTTGCGTGGGGGCCCTTGCGTGGGCCTTCGGTCGCCATTATACTATACCCGGGTTCAAATCCGCCTGCCGGCTCCTCGGGTGTTTGAGGAGTGATGAAATGGGAGGTGGCCCCCCATCTTATGGACGGTGTAGGACGTGATAATATCAACTTGCGAGCTGACCAGGAACTAAGTTGATGCGCCGTTGATCCGCTAGATTTGGTTGGATGCTGGTGGTGAGTTGCCGAACTCAACGAATACATTCTGAAGTCGGATGGGGTGACGGATTAGGGTGCCCCTCTAGCAGGGGAGAGCAGGGACTGCCCCGGGAAAGGGGGCCGCTGGCGAAGTTAACCACCCTGTAACAACATACATACTATTAGTGTTTGGGCGCTGCTGCCCGTCTGTGACTCGGTCTGTTCCAGGTCGATACCGGACTATGGTTGCGTTAGGCATGGAGATAAGAGAGGGTCGTCGGTTGCTTTTTGGGAGGGAAACATCTACCACCACACCCTTCCTGCCCTTCAAGCTCCCCCACAACACACAGGCGCCACACCCGCGGCCACCTGCTCCACCCGGCCTTCTCGGGGAGTGGGGGGAGGGTACGGTCCATCTCACTCACCCATCTCGTTCCCCTGGTTCCTTTCCTTTTATCCTCTTCCCTCCCGTCCATGCAGCTCTACCCCAACGAGAATCGCAAGCTACCGCTTCTGAGTGATCTCATTCCCAACAATGGCCAGGTACGCGTACTCGTGCGCATGACGGCGCGGTGCGCTACCTCAGGCATGGCAGGTGCCTGGCAGCATATCGGAGTACGGCGGTACGGCATTACAGGTAGAGCCGCAGTGGGCCGGCCCCCAACCTCTTTCCACTCCTACACCTGGGCTTTCACTGCGCTTGGGACTTGGACAAGTAGGGTGTCAGCTTTCTAAATGAATGAAAGGAACAGTCGCGTAAATCGCTCGCGTGGAACACACCAGAGCTTTTAGTTAGAGCGATCGACGGGTGGGGTAGCGAGGCGTGGCGTGGCGGGCGTCCGCTCTTTACTGGACTGGTGGGGATACGCATGTGCATATAGCATCGGGAGCACACGATCACAACCCTCAATCATCCGCTTTGTACAATGCACAGCACCAGGAAGCGCGCCGTGTGGAGATTTTCCGGGTTAAATGGTTTATGTAGCTGGCTTCGGGCATTCGAGCCGTTGCGAAGGTCGATTAAACAAAATAGCAGGTTTATGCGAATCGTAAAATCTTTGAGTGTTCTCCTAAGTAGCATAAACAGTTGTTGATGATCTGGCGTCAAGGGCAAGCTCGATGCAAGAAAGTCAATCCATTAGTTGCTGCGACAGCGACTTTCATTACTGTACTGTATACAGGAACTTTGGCCGCGCCGCGGTTACCGTCACTAGTTAATAGCACTATCACAACTCCAGGCTATATAGCCAACGCAACATGTATGCGTACCAGCCAGGGTGAACGTTAGGATTAACATTTGGCGCGCTTTTACCATACATTTATCGCGACATACTCCTTGCGGGCCTTGATAAAATACCTTCCAGAAGAGTAATACTGTATACTAGCATGTATGATTTGCCGTTCAATCTAGCGCAGTACTTTTTGCTGGCCTACCACGCAGGCCTACCACGCAGAGCTGCAGACGAGCACCAGCACCAGGAGGCTCCGCCCCTTTGGGGGCCTCTTCCCGGCGGATCTGCGCCCGGAATCCCCTGGGTCTAATGCCCGCCGAGAGCTGAGCTTGAGAAGCAAACTTATGGCCACTTCCCGCGTGCTCAAAATCCCTTTCTTGCACCTTACTCATTTCCCTGAAGATGCCCCTCCTTGCGTCCCCATCCCGCCTCCCTCCGCGCTCCCCAGCTAAGGATGGTGATGGCCGACCCCCTCGCCGCCTGCAAGAGCCTCCACCGCTTGCGCCAAAAGGCCCGGGGTGGTGTGGTGATGGTTGAGGTCCCTAAGCAGTGTGATACCTACACACAGGCACGTGTGTTTCATACCTAGCCGGCGGCTTGCGGCTGTAGTAATTCGAAGGGTGGCAGCTGCCGCGGGACGGGTCGAGGCTTGGACAGGGTTTGGTGGTGGGGTCTGTCGTGTCCACAGGCTTGAGGCCGGGGGGGTTGGGTTGGGAGGCGAAGGGGCCGAGTTGGGAGCCGGTTAGCACCGGTTCGAAGAATCGGTGCGGGCGAAATGCTGTCCGGTTCGGACGGCGCACAATGGCCGGCTAGACCGCCAGATCCTTTGGCTTCCTCTACGACCCGCTAGGACCCGCATCCTGTTGCGCCACCCTCCCACCCTAAGCTCCAACCCTGCCTAGAACCCCTTAAAACCCTAAACCCTCTGCGCCCTTCTTATCGTACACTTTCACTCTTCCATCCTACTAACCTTTCTCATACGCACGCACACACGCACACACGCACGCACACACACACCCACCCGCCCGCCTGCCTGCCTCTCCCTACCCGCCCGCCCGCCTACCCGCCTCTCCCTACCCGCCTCTCCGTACCCGCCCGCCTTCCTGGCTTACCAGGTTCAACAAGTCATGCGGGCGGGAGCCGTGGCCATGATCATCCTTCGATCAGACTTTAACGATGAGTCTCCCGCCCCCGACCCCATCAGTCCCAACCTGGAACTCTTCAACACGTCGGCTGTGTCCTGGCTTGGCCCGGTGGGTGGATTGAGTCCCCGGGGGCCCCAGGGGGGGGTGGCGACTGAGGGTGGGGTGGGGGGGTGGGGGGGGTGCCATGCTTGGCTGTTGGTGCTGCGGCTGGACGTGTATCCTGGGGGATACCGTGTTTAGATCCCTTCCAGCCTGGATTGGGGAAACCTCCGCGCATTGAGCAATCGTGGATAGCTCAACCTTGACCTGCTGATTGGTGCGTTACGATAATGCTGTGGCTGATTATAGAAGTCGACTTCCCCCGGGCTTCGTGTAAATCCTCCTCGAAGTCCTCCTCCTTTTCCCCCACTCTTCCTTTCTCCCTCACCCTCTTCCTCTCCTTCCCCCCCTGCCCCCTCCCCCCCACTCAGGAATGGGGGGAATTCCTCAAGTCGTTGTCCAGGAACACTTCCTTGTTAGGACTATTCATCTCCAAGTCCGAGGCACGTGGTCATTGCGGTTATACTTATGGTTGAGCTGGCTACGGTTAAGGTTACGGTTGAGACTGCAGTTTGGCAGTTTGTGAACCGGTGTTTCAGTTGTAGTCAACAACGGATCATCATATATGCCTTCACAAAACGCAAACCCCCCAAAAGATCAAGAAGCCGATGAGGTCAAGATGCGCGCTGCTATTGATGATGTTGATGTATGCGTGCTGGGCGGGCAGCAATCCCCGGATGGGACGTACCGAGCCGTATGGACACCAGCACCCTCGACTAGCGAGGGTATTTTTCTGAAAGGCCGCCGGGGCCGCTGGCCAACATTGCAAACTTTTTCCTGTTAGTATTTTTTAGTAGTATTATTGTCCTCTTAAAATATTGTGTTTGTGCCGTACGCAGGGTGTGTACGACTCGAAGGTGGTCTTGCACTTCAGCGGTGCGGGTCCATTGAAAAGTGCGTGGGGTTGTGTTGCGCATGTTGGCCTTTGGGCGTGTATGTATGTATGTATGTACATACTTTCATGGGTGGCGTTAAATCGACATCGGAGTGGACCGTTGATGATGAGGGTTGCGGAGCGGCGTCTTGACGAGGTCCCTGCACCCTGGTAGGATAGCACCAGGACCCCCCAAACACACACACACACACACACAGACTCCCTTGTCTTTCCCCCCTCCTCCCCCCCCCTCCTCCTCGATGCAGGCGGGCGCATCAAGCCCGACATCACGGCACCCGGTGAGCCTGGCGGCCTGCCTTAGGAGGACTGCACCATGCACCCATCCCCCCATTGGAGGGGCCGGGACGGTGGTGGTGGTGATTGCGGAGCTGGGGTTTTAATTGCCCTAGTACTATTGTTATTGGTGTTATTGTCACTGGTGGTGTAAGTTAAGGGATGATGTTGGTGGTGGTTAGCTTGCTGTTGGTGGCCCGGTTGGGGGGGAGGTCCCCGTGGGGGGCTGGCGGGACTTGCCGCACAAGTGCTACCACACAGCGGCACAGGCAGGCACAAACACACACACACACGTACATACATACATACACACACAGGGACCCCACCGCAAGACTGTGCAGCACCCCGCTGCACGACGACGACGCTGCAACACTCCAGGGAAAGAGGAGGCACGAAGCATCCCCCGGTCCCCCTCCCCCCTTCCCTCCCCCTCCTTATTGGCCCCGTGTAGGATTGGCCATCATGACCGCCAGCAAGCTCCCCTCAGCCGCTACAGCCAGCACTCCGGACGTCGTGTGTAAGTCGGGGCTGCTATGAACCTCCTCCGCTCCGTTTTGCGGCCACCAGCAACAGCAATGTATTCCCAGCCGGTCAGCATCTGTTTTGAACTATGTCGTACCGCGTCGTACCGTACTCATCCTTGAAATCCTCCCCCTGATTTGATGCTCTTACGTATGTGCTCTCAGGTTGTGAGCCGCCTGGCTTTTGAGGCAAACTTTCAACACGCATTCAGCTTTGACCTGCCAGGCAGTTCGCATTCCCCGTACAAGCTGATGTAGGAGCCGTACCCATGCATGCACCCCGCTGGTCCGCTTTCACGGCGCCCGTGTGTCGCATTACCATTTTCAGTTCCCCCAACAATAACAACACCCCAACATCACCAACCTCAGAACTTTCACGGCACCCTCCGCCCCCAACTTTTGTCGTCACTGCGATTGCTGACGAATGAAGTCCTGACGCATGCCTATATTTGTATGTATGTATGTATGTATGTGTGTATATGGTGCGCACGGCTGCTGGCGGTCTTTATGGGCCTCCTTCAGCCGCCAGTTGCCCCACCGCGCAACGGAACGGCACGTCGTACTCGACACCGCTGGTGAGTACGGCACCGAAACACAGCCGTGTCTTATGTGCCGTTAATGCGCGTGCGAGGGTAAGCCGACGGGCCGGGATGTGTCGCTCCTCTCGCGGCGTGGGAGCGGCGGTTAGGCATTCGGTCGAACTGCGCACCTCCCATGAAGCCTGTTCGTGGGGGTTGCGGTTTGACAGTCACAGGCAGGCAGCCCGCACGGCTTGGGATGGGGAAGGTTGTGCATTATGGGTTGCAACTAATGTGCGCCAACCCTTCCCCCTCCCACACACACACATCTCACACGCAGAAGCATGCCCTCCTACTCAACCACTCCCCTCCCCTCCGCTCCCCTCCCCTCCACTCCACTCCCCTCCACTCCACTCCCCTCCACTCCCCTCCCCTCCACTCCACTCCACTCCACTCCACTCCCCTCCACTCCACTCCACTCCACTCCACTCCACTCCACTCCACTCCACTCCACTCCACTCCATTCCACTCCA